AGCGGGGGGAAAACCAGCGTGGGGAGCCGGGCTGGGCCACGGGGGGGTCAGGGGGGCAGCACAGCCCTCCCCATCCCTAATCCTCCTGATCCCCGTTGCCCAGCACCCACGAGCACTGCCCAGCCTTGGGTCTTGGACCTGGAGAAAATCCAGGAGGTCCCTGCCGTGAACAAGGGTTGGGTTTTAATTTATTTATGTTTTTATCCCAGCTCCTCAGAATTTTATCAGCATCTTTCTTGATTTCTTGGAGTTTCTTCTCTTTTTTTCCCACCATGAAATGCTGCTCCTTGCCTCTCGGGTCGCTGGGCGATCGTGGGGCACGTCCAGGCTGCAGGAATCAGGGTGCAGTTCAGGAGGCAGATCGTGCTCCGGGGTTTATTTCACTTTTAAACCCCCGGGTTTTCAAAGGTCAAGGCTGGGGGAGGAGATCAGTCAGCTCGAGCATTGGAGTTTCTTCTCTTTTTTTCCCACCATGAAATGCTGCTCCTTGCCTCTCGGGTCGCTGGGCGATCGTGGGGCACGTCCAGGCTGCAGGAATCAGGGTGCAGTTCAGGAGGCAGATCGTGCTCCGGGGTTTATTTCACTTTTAAACCCCCGGGTTTTCAAAGGTCAAGGCTGGGGGAGGAGATCAGTCAGCTCGAGCAGCCCAGCCCTGATCGCAATCGCAGGCAGAGGAGTTGGGTGTGAAATCAGCCTTTGAGGCAGGGCCGGTCCCTGTGCGGGGGAGCCAGGATGCCGGGGGCCAGAGGACACGGGAAATGAGTCAGGCAGAGCCCGGCGGGCACAAAGGGGGGGGGCGAAGCCGCTGCCCCCAGGGATGCGGAGGGGGGTCCTCATTTTCACCTTTGGGATCAGCCATGAGTACCCTGAGCCCCCCACGCACTGCTTTGGGTGGGAAACTTTTCTCTTCGGGGCTGCTTTCCCTGCGAGGGGGCCAGGAGGGTGCGGGGTGTTCCCGCATCCCGCTGCCTGGCACCAGCAGCTGGGACAGAGGGGCTGCCCCAGCACAGCCACCAGCCAGCAGCAGGGCACAGACCCAAGATTGAGAGAGCTCCAAAACCCCAGAGATCTCCCTCAAACCCCCCCTGCTGCCCCTGGCTGTGCGGTGACCCGGCTGCGGGTCTCACCCGTCAAACATCAGCTCATTGATCGACGTGTCTGAAACTGGGGCTCGGCACTGGCCGTCCTGGGGAAATCTCCCCTGCACGAGGACGGCAGCATCTTTTCCATACTGTTTCTGTGCATTTTCCGACGGCAGGAGATGCCCCCCCCCCCGGGGGAAACCTCGGAGGCTGCACAACCAGCTCTGGGGGTGCAGAGCCCCGGGGGGGTCTCCAGCCTGGGAGAAAACCTAAAGAAACCTCCACTGCTTCTTGGCACCTGGGCAGGAGCCAGCTGGGTGCTGCAGGGGGTGGGTGCTGGGGAGGGGGAACCATGAGCCACCTCTCCCTGCGGACCGGGAGGAGGGAGGACCCGTCCCAGTACAAACCATCGCCACAAGCTGGGGAAGTCCCGGGTGACCGGGGCGGGGGGAAAGGACCTTAAAAAAGGCAGCAGCACACGTGGGGTGTGCATTTAGTGGTTACCTCACTCACCATCGGCCCTGGCAAGGTAATGGAAAAGCTGATCTGCCCCAGACAGAGATTTAAAAGTGAGAAGAATAAATCAGACAAATCCTTTTTAGAAGGGAGACCTGACCTGGCAAAGCTGCTTTGATCACATTCGCGGCTCCAGCGGCCCCAGCTGCAGCAGCTGCCCCATCCCTCAGGCTCTGCACTTAGATCTTCCTCCCCCAGGGTTATTTATTGATCAGCTGAAACGAGGAGAAACGCTGCAGCATCAACACAGCCTCTGCAAACACTGCTGGAAAAGCAGCTCCCAGC